CCCCCCCCCCCCCCCCGATTCAATCACTTTTTGTCCACAGTGAAATCATGGAGCAAAATCTGATTAGTTACATTGTGCCGTGCAGTACACTCATCTTGCTCCCTGACTGGCTGGAATCAACTCAGAAACAGGAAGCAGTGCCCTCATTTTCAGTCATCCCCATTTGTCCTCAGTGATATCATCAAACAGATCAATATAGTTGAACTGTTGTTATTTGTATCATAAGGTAAAAACTCTGTTAGAACAGAAGCAGCTACTCACATAGACAGGAGCCTGTGAAGTAATGGCTGAGTAAAATCTGTACAATCCCTTCTGAACATTTGTGGTGGGAAAGAAGAAATAAGACACAAAGACACAAATTGGAGATGCCTAGCACTCAAACCACTGAAGGATCAAAACCACTCCTTTGTGGTTAAACGTGGGTCTCCATAGCTATTCCACATTCACTTCCTCCTCACAGCAGTGATGGTCTCCACTACAGGGGCTGCCTGAGTTGAGCAACAAGCAGGAGTTAGGGAAGTTTTAGAATCACATTCCAGATGGTGCTACATTCAGTCATTCAAGAAGTCACATTTCTGTGGCAACAATTTGAAGGCTTCACCTGCACAATTCAAAAACTTCTCAGAGATCTTGAGGTGATGCCATACATTCCACCCCCCTCTGCATCTCTCCATTATTCCAGATCAAACTGGTTCCATAGGTTTTCATCACACTTTGAAGTGTAATGATGACAAATCAAAACTCACCCCACAGACAGCAAACAGCACTGTTGCAAGAGATGAGAATTCCTTATGGGGTGACCATCCTGGATGTCTATCGGACATTGCCGATGATAATTAAGCACTGGGTTTGCTTTTATTTTATTGTATGCGCAACAAAGGGAGCCAAGCCATTTCAAGTGCTTAGGTAGTTCTTCAAGAAGACAGAAAAAGTGCGCATCATAAAACAGTCCCTTCCCCTTTCATGAAGCCATTATCTTGTGGCTATCGTTTTTTTGTCTTTGTTTTAATAGTCATTTCATTCTGGTCAGTCTGTGCTTATCTAACCACACAGCAAACACCACCTCTCCCCACGAAAGTGTGAATTAGGTTTTTCCCTCTCAGCAAGGCAGACCATCTTCTTGCCATTCTCCTTCGTAACATTTATGAAGGATCAAGCTGTCAAAGCAAAGCTGGGGCCCACCATAACAGAAGAAGGGGTTCTCATTTTCCCACTGAAACCATCCTCTGCTCTCAGCTCCAATGTCATTCAGATCATGAAAGCACCGAAATAGGATTTTGAGTCATCTTTGACCCGCACCAACTGGCTCTGGGACACCTTCACAAAAACTTCCTCTTTCTCTTCTAGCTGCACTATCCCAGCAAGAAAGCTGTTGTGTCTCCAGTCTCTATGGCTATCCCAGTTGCAGGAGAGGATGTTGTTTGTCAGCAGTACTATCTCCTTTGGATAGTTAGAAGTCCTCTTGCAAATGCTGTGGGTGAGCAAGGGGTTCGTGGTTGGGCAACTTGGATAACCCAAATAGAGCTTGGAGTAGATATAGTAGAGTCCAGACTTGTTACAGATCAAGGAGCCGTCCTTATAGCCCATGTCCTGTAGAAAGGCGGAACCATCTTTATACTCCCACAGCAGGCCTCTATTCATAGCCATGTTGACAGAAGAACCTAGAAAACACAATAATCTGAACGCTGAGCATTCTTCCTCAATGGGTAAGGAGTGGTAAACAACCATATACAGTGGTGCCTTGCTTAACGATTACCTTATTAAATGATGAAACTGCTTGATGATGAAGTTTTAATGGTTAAAAATGATGTTTTAATGGTAAAAATTCACTTAACGATGATCGGTTCCCTGCTTCGGGAATCGATTTTTTGCTAAATGACAATTTTGAAACAGCTGATCAGTGGCTCTAAATTGGCCGCCCGCTGTGCAAAATGGCTCCCCGCTGTGTTTTCAGGACGGATTCCTCGCTTTACAGGCACCGAAAATGGGAGAGCAGTGCGTCTTCGCTGGACGCTGAGGTATTTAGCCCATTGGAACGCATTGAACCGGTTTCAATGCATTTCAATAGGCCTTTTCATTTCACTTGATGAGGATTTCGCTTAACAGCAATTTCAATGGAACGAATTATCCTCGTCAAGCAAGGCACCACTGTACTTCTATTCACACAAATGGAACAGAATGGAATCTATTCTGAAGAGGTTGACTTTGACACAGAGGTTTTGAATAGGAGACACATATTTCCTCCTGCCTGAGTGGAACCACCTGGCTCTGGGAAGAAAAGGGAGAGCAGTGGGTGCATTCCTTCCTTCCTTCCAAAAGATTTTCAGTTTCGTTGAATGATTAAACAAGGAACCTACACAGTTCACTGATAATGAGTAATTAAGCACTGGATTTCTGATGTTATCATTACTAAGACCAAGTTCCCTTTATTTTGTTTTACAGATACATAACATATTGTATAAGTACATTTAAAAACGTGCATTGACTGTAGGCCAAGAGTTCCACAAATGTTTGCAAACGCTAACGGCATACTATGGTCTGCAACACCAGGGGAATTATGATTTCCTTGTCCTCTCGCTTCTGCTGCAGCCCTCCGGTGTCCTCAAAATGTGCTCCAGACAGGTACACAACCATCACTAGGATGTTTTTTTGAGTGCATAGGGGACTGACGCAAAAGACAGCTGTCGAGTCTGGTAGAGGAAGTGTAAGCCAGTGGAAATGTGTGTGTAAATCCTGGGCAGTGTAATCTTTACAGTGAAGCAACAGGCTGCCCTTCAAAATAAGGGCACTGATGTCCCTTTGCTTACATTTCCAGTACAGAGGGACATTTCCTCATGTGAGCCTAGTAAACTGAAAGGGGTACAGACTCAGCTCAGGTTCATCACTTCAGTGTTCTGATGAGACCCAGCAATACCTGGAAGTCGTGGTATTTTTAATCTGGATTTCCAGTTCCAGATACTGCTATTTGGAATCCTGCACTCCAGACTGGGATTTCCACTCACACAATTCCAGCAGCACCCAGCGGCCGTGGCATCACATCTGAATGACAATGTTTCTTTCTCAAAATGCAGTGCCAGTCATTAACATTTGCCATGGTGGTTTTAGAAAGGTAAGATGGCAAATACTCGGTATTGGTTTTGTGGGAAAGGGCTCTGCAGTTACTTGCCTGTCATCCAGAAGGGCTGCCTGTTAACAAATGGCTAGCAAGGATGAATACATGAAAAGGGCTGAAATTTGCGGAGGAAGTGCAGTCAGAACCAGAATGGTAAAGGACATAACTGGGGAGAATGGCTGGGATCAGCAAATGGTAGCAACAGAGCTCTTGGGAAGCCAAAGTGATAGTTACTGGCTTACACAGTCATGGCACTGCTAGGACAGTCAGTAGGGCAGCTCAGTTTCATGCCAGGAGGTACCTTTCCAGGTTGTGAGCCAGCTAGATTCTAACTATAGATACCATGCAAAGTTCAGCCATTTTCATTCCCTGTTGCTAGATCCTCCATGAGGAGGATTCATTTGCTACTGCAGAGGCTTGAGCGTGGGCTACAAACTTGACTACAAACTCTGCTGTTTGAAGCTATGACACGCCATTCCCCTCCATTCAACCAATTATGCATCACCCGACTTCACTCAGCCTCTTGGAGAAGGAAAGAAATTTGTCTGAGTTAGGAAGTTTTCCTACCTAGTGTTAGGTGAGCAGCTGGCTTTCCAGTGGGAGGACTGTGGCCTGTGAAAACAAAGGAGAAAAGAATTGAGGGCTGCTGGCTGTGCCTTTGTTCTCCGTCCTGTAAGCCAGGGCAGCAAGTGCAATGTGGCCTCTTTGAATGGCAGGTCACCACTAAAAGGGCTTGGCATATGCTGTGCCTATGTGGGATAAGGAAAAGAGGGGGTTGAAATATAGTATTAAGTGCCTAATTCGGTTTTCTGTCGACCTCAAAGTCCTTTGTGAGTGGTATCTTTAAAAAAAAGTTTCTGGTAAACACATTTCTTACTGTTAAAATCATATCAGAATAGATCAAGTAATGCAAAAGAAACCAAATCAGTCTTCCATATTTAAGCAGGTCACAGAACCCTATCTCATGTATCACAGATCAAAAATGTTTTTGAAAGTTAAAAGGAAGATAAAGAGATTAAAAACCACCAAAACAATTCTATTTATTTCTTCCAGTCCCCCTCAAGCAATTTGGTTTTCCTGTGGTCAGTTTTCTCTGAAGAGAAAACAGGTTTCCATTTCCACACTGACATTTCCTACACCTTTTCATTTGCTACCCCAAATGTCAACAACCAACTAGCCTCCTCCTCCGTGCTGGAGAAGGAGGCTGGTTGGTTGTTGACATTTGTTGGAATCCACAGAATGCTGAACCACTGCTGTTTACATTGTTCTAAATTCTCAGATATCTGCTAAGCATCAAACAATATGGGGGTGTTGGGGGGAGTGCTGGGTTTTTTTTATGTAACAGCAGCATTGACAAGCCTAGATGGGCTCTGTGGTAAACTGATGAGTCAACGTTTGTAAAAGAGTCCAATCATCTCCTTCAGCTGAGTAAGTCACAAGCTCAGCAGTCTGATGTAGTACAGCTGGTGAAACAAAATGCTGTGAACCCTGGGGAAGCTAGTCCATGATTGGCCAGTAAGGGCAATAAACATGATAGCCTCAGAGCACTGGGTTGTTGGGCTGAACAAGGAGAGATACAAGGAGCTATTCTGATAGGCTGATTTATTATATTGAATATTGTTTCGGACTCGGAATACGTGCTGTGATAACTGGACTGGATTTGATCTTGAATGGTTACTGTGTATGACTATTGGACTGGACTAAGACAACTCTGTATGTATGACTTCACTGCTGTTTATAAACAATACATTTTTTCTTTACTCTGATGGGCACTCTCATTCCACTACTTACCTGCATACTGGTTCCTGGCTTGGATAGAACTCTGCCAGGGCTAGGGAAAGGGCATTGCTCCGACCTAAAGCTCCTATCAAGCACTGGCTTCAGAATCAGAACCTTGACCCAAGAATCAGACCCTTGTAATGTCACAGGGTTAGAGCCTTACAATATCAGAGTGACAGGGCAGGCAAAATTGGGATTGGGGGTGGGGGTGGGGGTGGGAAACAAGCACACAACACATAATCATCGCCTTCACACCAAACAAGTGAGCCCTAGCTCCAGCAGGGAATGAGTCGATATGCAGGCCCAATCTTTAAAGGTATCTTACAAGCCAAAACAAACTTCCTCCTCCTCCAGCACTGCTTGCCCTGAACTTTGACTTCTTGCCTGGGACCCCAGGAAAAGTTTCCAAGGCTCTGCAGAAAGGACATGACAAACTTTGGAGGCAGGTGCTCTGTGTTGCCACTTGTCAACTCACTAGGGTTAACTCTACAGATCACCCACCAATAGGACAGGACCCATTTATGAAATCAATAACAAAAGACAGATATCTACATGCACTCTCTGGAGCCTGTAGCGAGAGGAAGAGTGAGGAATGCAGTGTGAGGTGCTAACTTGGCCCTGACCATTTCACTTGCCAGAGGGCCAAAGGATACCTTGGCGTCCAGCAGCCCGGCCCCCCAAAAAATCCCAGAGCCATGTGTGTTGTTGGCTATAAACAGAAGAATGTGAGAAGCCCTCAGACCAAAGGTTCTTAATTTTGGAGGCCTGGAGAGTCTTAGACTGCAGGTCCCCGAAGCCTAGGCCCACGGCTGTGGTAGCTAGTGCTTCTGGGAGATGCAGTCAAAGGACACTTGGAGCCTCCTAACCACTGTGCTAGATCAAAGAACTGAGTTGCTAAATTAAAACAAGCCATGGTCTTGTAAGATTTAGATTCAGGTTTGCAATAAAAGAACAATACTCTAGGTTTTATATTCAGGCCTATGCATGTTGCCTGGGACAACCTTTTATAGTTGGGCAAGTCCAAAATTTGTTGTTGGTTTAGGCAAAAGAGAAGATGGCACCTCTCCTGATGCCAGGTACAGAAGCATATGCTTCATGTAAGAAGCGAAATAGAATTAAACAGAAAGAAAAACTGGAAACAGTGAAGTCTCTGTTAAGTTAGTTCACTATATTCCATTCTCCAGACATTTATTAAAGGCTACAATGAGCTAAATATGATTTGAACAATTTACATCTTGCTAAAGCTGAATTTGCATTGACATGTATGCGCCAGAGATACTGGGAAAGTGGGGAGAAAGCAGGTAAAATTTTGGCATCTCACTTACACAAAAAAATCAGAATTACCCTGTTTCCCTGAAAATAAGAAGTAACCTGAAAATAAGCCCTAGTAAGTTTTTTCAGGATGCTTGTAATATAAGTCCTACCCCCCAAAACAAGCCCCAGTTAAGTGAAACCTCACCTTCCACCATTGTGCATTAAACAGAAGACGAAGACATGGTTGTATTTGAATAAATGTAGATTGTTGTACAGGGGGAAAAATCCCCTGAAAAAAAAGCTTTAATGTGTTTTTGGAGCAAAAATAATTTTCTTATTGTCTTATTTTTGGGGAAACACTGTATGTTCCCTTGATAAAAGGGGTCAAAATATATTATATAAAACACCTTGAGAAATAAGCTTAGAATTCAAAAATACTGTACTAAATTATATTAAAAATATATAGACCCTAGAGGTGATGAAACTGAATTCTTTTTTTCACAAGTTGTTCTTCCACAGCTAAATACAGAAGAGAAAGAGACTCTCTCAAGACCATTAGAAATAGAAGAGATTAAAAGGATAATTCTGAAAATGAAAAATGGAAAAACACCAGGGCCTGATGGTTTTTCTATAGAATGTTATAAGACATATGTAGATTTTTTTGGCTCCTAGACTTCTCTCTGTGTACCAAAAAGCCTTTGAACTGGACAGTTTGCCAACTTCTATGTATGATGCATATATATCTGTTATACCTAAACCTGGTAAAGACCGTACAGATTGTGGAAATTACAGGCCAATCTCCTTAATGAACACAGATGCTCAAATATTATCTGTAGTTTTGGCTAACAGAGTCCAGGCTGTAATTTCAACTGTAACATATCCAGATCAAGTGGGATTTATTCAACATAGACTGGGAGCAAATCATTTGCGATTAGTAACAAATTTGGTAGCCCTTAATAGTAAAAGATCTGATCTAGCTGCACTTGTTTCTTTGGATGCCGAAAAAGCATTTGATAATATATCTTGACAATTTATATTAACAATCCTAGGAAAGCTTGGATTTCCACCAGAATTTATAAAATGGATTTAAATCTTATATATTTGTCCTAAGTCACAAGAGTAAATGGACTTCTTTCTGAATCTTTTTTATTTGCAGAGGGGTACAAGATAGGGTTGCCCCCTGTCTCCCTTGTTATTTGATATATGTTTGGAACCATTCGCATGTGCCATTAAACAGAATAGAATGATAGATGGCTTTGTCCATGAGCAAGCTGAGTTTAAGTTAGCTTTATATCAGATGATTTATTATTATGTATTAGCAAACAAGAATTATCTATACCAGAATTAATGAAAATAATTGAGCTTTTTGGCAAAATCTCAGGATATACAATTAATTGGGCAAAATCAGAGTTAATGCCAGTGGGTAATAATAAAGAATTGGCATTGTACAAAAATTGGCATTTCTGTCAGTGTCCAGAGGTATTAACATATTTAGGTATTTTAATTCCAAAGGAATATTTCTCAGATGATTAAAGTGAACTTCAGTAAATTGATCACTGATATTTCTAATGACCTAGAAAGATGGGCATTACTTAAATTTAGTATCTGGGGTAAGGTTAACACATTCAAGGTGAATATATTGCCACACATAATATATGCGATATGTGCTATTCCATTGTATATTCCTCAAGTTTATTTAAAAAATTAATAGAATATTTCAAAAGTTTATTTGGAATAATTCTCCACCTCATATCTCAGTTTAAAAAATGCAGTTGCCAATATCAGAAAGTGGATTTACTCTCCCAGATATCAGTGCCTATCATAAATCATATCTTTTAGTTCAAGTAAACTGCTGGCAAACCTCTATTACTATGGATACTCCATCTTGGGTGATTCTAGAAATGGCTTATTTAACACCCCTATATAGATGGTTTGCTCTGGGTTCTAAATACTGTACACTTTGAGAAAAGGAAATATACAGTACCTCTTTCTGTTTTAGCTACTAGGGTAACATGGAGAATATTAGCTCGCCAACTACAATTCGAACCATATGCCCATGAAAAAACTACTCTATGGGGAAATCCAATAATAAGAAATGAGAAAAAGCCCTTTTTGTGAAAAAAGTGGGCAGAACGTGGTATATACACCTTAGACCAGTTAGTAAGTACAGATGATGAATTTCTATCTTTTTCTATACTACATTCTAAATATGAACTATCTGCAACTACGCAATGGCAATATCTTCAATTCCAAAACCTTTTGGCCCATCTGCAATGAGTGCCTCAGAATCTCCCAGACTGTTAGAGGCAATTATTGTATCTAATGAGAAACCCAAACCAATAACTACAGTGTATAAATACTTAATAGACTTTTATAAAATAGATATTCAAAAACTTGAAGAAATATGGAACAGGGAATTGGAAAGTAAAATACAAGCTAAGCAATAGAATCTATAAAAGATGTTTTCCAGGATTTGAAATTGAGATTAATCCAACAAAAAATAATAATATTTAGAACATATTGGACCCCACAACGGCTATTTAGGAAGAAATTAATACATTCTGATAGATGTTGGAGAT